ATTTTCCCTTCCTTGGACGAAACGAAAAAATCAAGGGCTGTGTGCAACGCGGTTCAAAAAGTGAAGTGACAAAATCTAGAAGACTTATGCGTCAAGTTTTGACAGTTCTGTCTAATCCTTCACAAACAATAAGTGATAACAAATAAAGTAGGTAGTTAAAACACTAGTATTCCACTCGACTGGAGAGTTCAATACACATGGAAAAATTTAATTTGGAAGATAGGAGGCCTAGCTGATCTATCTTTCTAGGGTGGAACCGTGCTCATGCTGCTCAGAGATGCTCGTGTAACTGAAGTAGAATGAAACGAGAAAACAAAAAAAATGATACGAAATAGCGAAGGGAAAAAACAGCAGGAGAAGAAAAATAAAAACATTTTATACGTTGTCCTGTAACCCTCAGAAGATGCGAATGTGTGTACATGCAATTTGAAATGGAAAATATGTCTACATGCAACTTGAAATGGAAAATGTGTCTACATGCAATTTGAAATGGAAAATGTGATTGAAAAATAAATGAATAAAAGTAAATGTCGACTGGGAAAAAATGCGCTTTCATCGGCATTCAGATATTTGAAAAATTTATGACTAACAAAAAATACAAAGTTAAAATTTTGCTTCAAAGAATACGTCAATTATTTTAAAAGTTAGAAGAAAAAATAAAAAAACGCAATTAATGCGTCTTTCATATTCTTTCAGTCCATGGAGGTCACTCGACTCCAAAACATTTTTTCCCCAATCTGTTGCTTTTGCAATTCACCATGTAGAATGAGTTTTTTCATTGTCAGCGAAAAATCTAGGGGGAAAATCTCTCATCTGAATTTGAGCCACTCCCATTGTTTCAAAACCTAGTATCGTACAACGTTTTCATTTTGGAGTTCCTGCTGAAGATACTCATATGACGGCTCCCACTATAGGGTCACTTTTTAATTTTTGACATCCCCCCAAATGAAAGGGAACAGGAAGCTCTCGGCAGTATGTTGAGTTCCAGTGTGTAGAGCAGATAGCCGAAATCAGGGGTGTGGCGTGTTTAGCAGTATATTGATTGATCTGCCTGATTTAAACCTATGAAAAAAGTCGATAAACAGGGTGTTTGCAACGAACACTTTACTAATCGATTCCTCGCCATAGCTTCAAATGGGGAAATATCGATGATCGATCATTCACGCCTTGCAGCCACTAGTTGGAATTTTGTCATTACTGACTAATGAGACCAAGGAACAAGGAAAAATGGAGTGGGCACACTGATGCGGAAAATCGCTACATCTGCGTAACGCTCTAAAAATATTTTTCAAAAATTTCATGAAAAAAGCCAGTTCTCTTCTGGAAAAATAAAGTAAAGGCAGAAATCTTGAAACGCTGTAGGCGAGACAAGTGTTTTTTCAGTTTTCTTTTTTTTTCTATTTTACCGTCAACATGGGAGGGTTGTCCGTCATGGATGAAGGAGTTGAGTGATAATGTTGCGATTTCGGGGAAAAAAGCTTTTTCGTTGGAGCTCATGACACGACTGAACTTCAGTGGCGTGGCGTGCTTTGCGATATATCGATTGTTATGCCATTTAAAGCTATGGGAAAGAATCGATAAGCAGGGTGTTCGCAGCGAACACCTTAACAATCGATTCTTTACCATAGGTTTAAATGGCATAAAAATCGATGCATCGCAATTCACGCCACGCCACTGCTGAACTTTGAACTTGAATATTGAGGCCGAAAATGAACGATGGTACTCAATTTTTGACAAAGTATATATACCTCGAGAAGTGTTTTAAATGTAGGGTTAGTGACTAATATTCCAATTTTGAACAAATTTCCCTCGAAAGCTTTATTACTGATAAACTTGTCACAGAACATGGATTCGTAATTGGACGTATTTCTACCAAACAGACCTATGTGCGGGTGAGAAATATGGGGTGTGCTCTAGGAAGCTGCATAAGAAGCAATGTAAAAGTGGGCGTGGTTCCTTTTGAAGAATTGGAAAAGCGGGATATTACATTCTATCAAAGAGACCTATGTGCCAACTGAATGCGGAACTCATGAGCCGCGGGCATGGCAAGAGAGCCTTGTGGACAGGGCTCACGAGTTAAAGCGCCCCGACGACCATCTCCCCGTCGTTAGAGTGCGCACTATCATTGCCGCTGACGTCACTGGCGCACAATTATTCCCATTCACTCGCCACGCAAAGAGAACTAACGAGCACACCCCACATTTCACACTTGCACATAGGTCTCTTTGGTAGAAATACGTCCAATTTATGCGCAGCATTTAGATTTTCTGGGAAAAGGCAGTTCTCTCTTGAAACAATGGCGTAGAAGCAATCTTGACACTCTGCAGGCGGAGAGACAAGTAGCGTGATTCTCATTTGAATGCGGTTGAACACCTATACTTTTGCTCGCAAAAAAACTTTCAAAGGGTTTGATTGCGGAATTTGCGTCTACGCCTAGCGCGTATTATTCGCAAGTAAGTCGAAAAATTCGTGTACCCAGTTGCGATTGCTTTCCACCCGGGTTTTTCCTTCAACAACTGACCGGTCTAAAAGTTTTTTTTTGAATTTTCTGTAAATTGTCTTCAATCGTTCAAAAATAAAGACAGAAAATTTTGAGGAGATATTTTCCTGGGAATTTTTCATCGAAAAATGAAGCAAAGTCGGGAATTTTGAAACGTTGCGAAAGAGATGATACAGATGCGTTGAGATTTTCCGACATTCGACATCGATTTTAACGCTAGACATATTTTTGTTTTCATGAAACATATATGTGTAAAACACGGAGAGCATGCCTTTTTTCGGAGGACTCTCGTATGCAGATAAAGTTCAGGGCATACTCCGACAATTACACGGTCTCTTTAAACTTATCGAGTCGGATAGAATGTCGTAGCACTAATGATTTTGTCGCGGTAGGGCTAGAATTGACATTGATTTGAGGGATTCTAATGACAGTGAAAACTCAGTATTAAAGAAGGATGCACCGAAAAAAAAGAAATGTTACTCTAACAACTGACACCGCTGATTTTACGACCCGAGGTTGCTAAAAAAATGTGCCAGGACGGCATGCGTTACTTTTACAGCTTCAGTGGTTGTTAATTTACCTACACACATGTTAAATGATGTTTCTTTGACTATTGAGGACGTAAAATTTACGTCCCTGGAGACGTGAAATTTACGCCCCTGAGGACGTGGATTTTACATTCTCCCGGTCGTAAATTTTAAGTCTTCGGGTTCGTAAATTTTACGTCGTTGAAAGTGTAAATTTCACGTCGTCGGGGACGTATATTTTACGACTTCGGGGGCTAAATTTACGACTTCGGGGGCGTGAATTTTACGATTTCGGGGACGTGAATTTTACGACTTCGGGGACGTGAATTTTACGCCTTCGGGGACGTGAATTTTACGACTTCGCAGACGTGAATTTTACGCCTTCGGGGACGTGAATTTTACGACTTCGCGGACGTGAATTTTACGACTTTGGGGACGTGAATTTTACGCCTTCGGGGACGTGAATTTCAAGTCTTTAGGGCCGTGAAAATCACGTCTTTGAAAATGTAAAATTTACGTGCTCGGGGACTAACGTTTCACCCCGAAGGACGTAAATTTCACAACCTCAGGTACATAAAAGTTGCAACCTAAGTTGCAACCTGTTTGGTAGTAGAAAGTGCGCCGATGGATTCATTCTATGAGGGGATCTGGCACATTGAAATTGCGGTTGTTCATTCCATCGTCCGAAGCAAAACCACTATAGCCCCATCTTAGATTTTGCATTATTTTCAACACGCATCGCTCCATAACGCGAAAACCTAGTTATCATTATGCTTCATTTTTTCAATTTGAATTCCTAATGGCATGGGTATGTCACAGTCACTCTACAAGCATGAGTGTCTGCTGGTTCTCTTGCAATAGATCGTTGCATCGGAAAATAACTGAAAAATGTAAAATGAAGTTAAAGCTTTTAAGCTCTGGATGGAAGCATTCCCCTCTACTATGATTAGATGGAGCGTCCATTAGATAGATTTTCTGTTATTTGCATTTGGGATCGGTTTTTGAGGCCAGAGTAATACTTCATTCTACGATTTTTCTTTTGGTCCTGATTAATTTAAGGCTGTTTAATCTCCGAACAAACTGCTCCCCTTTCTTTTCTGTTTTCTCATTTTTTAACTCATTTTTTTGTGGCCTAGAATGAGATGAATGCATGACAACTCTATCCAACAAACCAAATTTCATTTAATTTCCTTGATGACTGGCTATGCAACTTAAAAAATATGATTCTTTGAAGAGAATTTGAGGGTCGCTAGTCATTTTATACAAGGGTTCCAAAACATTTTGTATAAGTTAACGTCCACAGGACGACAGTGAAAGGACCTCAGTCATCCCGAGGGAAGCTTTTCCATGCTATTTCTGTCGAGTTGGGAAACTTCAGAATTTGAGTTTTTGACGAAAATCTCTCTCTAAACGTGTTCTGAAGAAAAAGTTGAGAGCAGTATAATTTATTTTGCGCTGATAGAGGACGTGGATTTATTTTCATGATACCTCGGCAATTTAAAACGGCACATGGACATTTTAGGAAGCTCCTCCCTCAAAACAACGTGTTTTGGGCTGTCAACTTCAAACCCAATACACCACTCCAGTTTGACATGTTTGGGCGTTTTTTGCTTCAGAAAAGTTCGCAAGAAATTCTTCGCTCTACTGAAAGCTGTCAAAATAACTCAATTCTAAATTTTTGTGTGACTAAGGTTCATTTTCTTCTATACAAACGCGATTGCATTTACCGGATAAAATAACTGCGCATTGTCGAAGAAGCAGCAAAATTTAACACAAGCACAATTTTGGAGCATAATAGTTGGGAATTTGTGGGTTTATTTCCTCTCTTTTTTTTTATTCGTAAAAAAAAGTTTTACCTCAAAATCGGTGATCATGACAAGCATGTCATACCTCGTACCCACGATAATAGATACATTTCTGATATATAAGCAAACAACTTTCAGGCCAACGCAGAATCAGCAACAAAAGCTTACCTCAAATGTCATTCTCCCGTCATGTCCGTACTTGGAGAACAACTCCTGGAGGAACAGGTTGTGCGCATCCTGGGAATGATTTGACTCACTGCGTGCACCGGAAGTGATGGTCAAAATCACCACCAAAAGCGCTGTCTCCGGAACTCCCCACATGTTTAAAAAAAATCACTGATCTTCGATCTCCTCACGCGGGACGAGACATTTAGTATTTCAGGCTTTTATAGATTGATCAATATGAATTTTACACTACCTATCGACCAGGTACTGATAACACGAAGTAAAATCAAATTCCGCTTCTGAAAAATAGCGATGATAGATCTTTTGGATGAAACTGTAGGAAAGAGGTCCTAGAATCTCCTTTCGTTGGAGCAACGATGAGAATTTGAAATGAACTTTGTAGATATTGAAGTAGATTCTTGTAGATGATTCAGATTAGATGACGAGGGAGTCCGTGGTTTCTATCCTACAAGCTCGGTAGGTCACTCTACCGACAGGAATCAATGCCCATGAAAAAAGTTTGGATAATAACTTCCAATGCGAGGAATTCGATGGAAACGTCGCAAAATATGAGGTTGAAAGGCACGAAAATAGGTCGAAAGAGTCAAATTCGCGTATCAAATTCTTGAAAAATCACAAGAGTCGCCGAGGCGTGAAGTTCGCACGAAAGTTCGTAAAAATCACAAAAATAAACTCGATCGGGATTTTCGACGATGCACCGGTTGCAGCAGAGCGCAAATAATAAAATTGCGATATTGACAATAAATGTCTCTTTGGATTGAGAGATTTCTTCAAATTAACATGCGAATAACAATCAAATTCGCGGGTTTAAACCCGCTCCAAAACCAGAATTATCGCGTTGAAAGATTCGAGATTCAAAATCTCGACCGCAGTTCAGGAGGCGAAAGTCACTTCACACTGAGGCATTTGAAGGAAACGAGGTTCAAACTCGAACATAATGGATCAAAATTAGCTTCCAAAGTCGAGATACGCGCGATTAACAACTTCGGACAGCGATCCTTCGGGGAAAAGACGTCACTTCGGATTGAGGGGTTAGTTCCGACTCGAAAAACGAAATCCGCGAGTCGATAATCACTTCGAAAACCGAACTTTCCGCTTCAAAAGTCGCGTAAAAAATCGCGATCGACCAGTTCGAGTCGAGATACGCGCGATTAACAACTTGGGACAGCGATCCTTCGAGGAAAAAACGTCACTCCGAATTGAGGGGTTGGTTCCGACTCGAAAAACGAAATCCGCGAGTCGATAATAACTTGGAAAACCGAACTTTTCGCTTCAAAAGTCGCGAAAAAAATCGCGATCGACGAGTTCGGGCGGTTTTTTGGCGAGCGCACCGAACGACGACTCGCGAAGTGCCGGGAGCCGATGATCCGAACGGCTCGACAATAGGATAACGAGCGGAGACAATTTATCGCGCGAAGATGGGCACTAAACCGGGGCTCGAAACGCACTCGTCTCGGATCCGAGCGGAGGTGTGTTCGCGGTCGGTCGTCGCGACGTCTTGGAAAAATTCAAAATAAACACCGCACCGGGCGCGGGTGCCGGTAGTCCTGGGTATCCGCTATCTTATCGGGTGTTTTGGAGACGCTCGCATCGCTACTGTTCAATCGGAGAGGAAGCTTTCACTCGTAGTGGCCGGGGTTGTCGCGAGGGCCGAGGTAGTGGAGCTGCGATGGGTCGTCACTGAAACAGAGGGAATGGAGTTGGCAACGTGGCAAGGATTTTTCGAAAATAGTCACCGATAAATTGGTATAGACCGTATTCGATAACGGTTCGATGTACCGTTTGGTTCAAAACAATAGAACATAACCTCAAACCAAACTGTAAGGATTTAAGTTGGAAAAGCTGAAAATGAGAAATTTCCTGACAATTTCACTTTGAATTGGCATTTGGTACTCAAAAGAATGAAAAATCTGTTTCAAAAGACCCGTTCTCTCGGATTTCTGAATTTACTTTTGAGGCTATGTTTATGTTTCGAACCAATCGATATCGATACGATCTCAGCCGTTTGATGTATCGAATACGATCTATTGGCTACGTCATTCTTGCGATATTCGATAGATTGATTTTCGATGGTTCTAACGATGAGCAGAGCTAGGAATTTTTTGTAGGGGGTGGCGGAAAAATTGGATCACATTTTGCAATAAAAAACCACTATCTCTGGCTCTTCCATAAAAGCGCCTTTCTGCATAGGGAAACCAATGGCATATATGTTGTTTCCAAATGAGCCAAAAATAGTATTTCCTTATTGCAAAATGTGGTCCAAGTCGTCAAGGTGGCTCTGTATGGTAGATGAAACGTAAGTATGCTCTTCTCGACTTTTTCGGTCAAAGCTCGGCTTTTGGCTCCCACCGCTAGAGCTGTGGCGCGAAATTTGAATTTCAACAATTTTGCAAACTGGCCGAAAACAAGCAAGACCGTCTGTCGTTGATAAACATAAGCAATAAGCGATCTCAGTAACACCAAATGAATTTTCATTCTTGGAGAATGAGCTTGCTCTGAGTTCGTTTGTTTTACTCAACAGCAGACGTGCATGTATTTGTTTTCGGCCTAGACTAGAGTACCTGTATAGTGAGAGTATAGACGAATGTGAAACTCCGAAAATTCATCAGGCTTTCACCGATGTCTCTGCGAATAAAGTTAGTGCCCAGAAATGCAGCCGACCTATGAATTTCAATTATCCATCATTTACTTGTACAATTATTACGAACTATCGTTTATGAAGCACGTAGTTTTTGCATAAATTTACTCATTTTTGCAGAAGAACGCTCATTTATGTACATTCTTGGCTATTCTGGTTAGAATTGGAATCTGCAGACTGGCAGTGAAATTTTGTGCGTTGGAAGTTGGTTAGAGGGGTGGCTCAGTGGCTGCGCTTTTGGGCCCTACAAGCCCTCCATGAAGTGATCTGCCCATACTCTCGCTTTATAGGTACTCTAGCCTAGACTGCGAAGTTGTTGGAATTCAAATTTCGCTCTAGCGGCGCGGCGCGGCGGGAGTAGAAAACCGAGGTCTGGTCGAAAAGGTTGGGAGGAGCATATACTTGCGTTTCACTTACCTTGGGTCTAGGTGGCACGAAAAAACACCCTACCGAGCAGGGGGATCTCGGGGTGGCCCTCCTGATGCCGAATGAGAGGTGGGGGAAAGTCCTAGCTCCAGTGGCCTCTCCGAAAAAATTGTAGAAAATTGAGTCACTACAGAGCCATTTTGAGCTGTTTTCACCAAAAAATTGATGGACACAATCGCGGAATCAAATACAAATGATATTTCATACGCTTTTTTAGCCATATCCCTCCCGTAATTCGAGCAGGACCGAGTATATTTTGGATGGGGGCAGCCGCGGCACCCCCTCCACCCTAGTTCCGCTTAGGGTTCCAACGTAAACAATGAAACATGACCTTAAGGGGTAAACTTGTGGGTGAATTCTGTGCAGAATTTATATTGTATCAGTTCGGGAAGATTTGGTCAAATCATCATAAATCAGTTCATGCACTCATCAAACACGAGAATTTTAATTACGAGAAAATTTTAGACTTATTCCACCACCCTGACGGGTCTTAATAGCCTAGTTATAAAATGGCAGATTAACGCACGCGTATAAGTAAGAAACGTAAAATCAGAGAAAATAAAGAATCAAAGAGTTGAAATAAAGTTAACTTGCAAACTTACTTACAGTGCACACGCAAATAAGTATATCCGCAAGGGGTACCACGGGAACGGGGTCTCGAAGGCCGGCGAGTAAAATTTCATTCGATATTCGAGCAAAGAAGAAACAATTTGTTTGGAAGTTTAATCTTGCCACTTTGGAACATTTTTTAAGAAAATAAACGAGAAGCTGCGATGGACCTGGATAGCAGACTAATTTATTTTCAGAACAATAGAAAGAACGTACTTCCGTATATTAATCAAACGAGATCTTATCGGGTAAACGGCTCAAGTTCATTTAATTGCCAGGCAAAGAAGAAGAAATTTGTTAGGAAGTTTAACGCTGCCACGTTGGAACATTTTTCGGCGAATAGAGAAGGTTCAAATAATTAAAATCACTTTCGACACGGACGCAACGCTAAATTCGCGGCTGATGATGACGCGACCGCCCGACATTTGGATTTAAACGATGCAACTATAACTGCTCGATGGCTATGCGGGTTGCGTGTGGGATGAAATGAAGGCACTTTCGCTTGCTTTGCTCGCTCAGGAAAATGTGCGCCGTTCCAAGTTAATTTTGGAAGGGTAGGGACTGCAGTTGCAATGTAAGCGATATCAAAGGTGCTCTCTCTCAAAGTTGCGTAATTTTCCCGAGAGGCAGATGTGCCTTTCATGTGCGAGCCTTTCCAAGTCAACTTTGACCTTTTCTCCTCGAGTTGCGTTCTGTTAGCGATGTTCTCCGTTGTATGACTGCACTATAGTTTCGCACAATTTCAGTTAGTCACTGTTTGTTCGGATTTCAACGCCGCGCATTTAAATTTTCCGAGTTTCTGACAATGTACAATCTGGCGTAGCGATCAGAATATGATATTCTCCGTCAAATTTTGATTAAGTTTATAACTTCAGACTTTTGGTCTTCGTCTTTTTCGACTGGATCGGATTCCCACTAAACTGATACTATATATTCGCCTGAATGCCTGATTACCTATCGTCAATCAAACTTTGAAGTTCTTCTCTCATCTCATCTCTCATTCTTACATCAAGAGTGTTCTTCAACTTTCTATGGCTCGATCGAACTGTGATAGCACCCACCAAACACCTATGAACAGATACAAATTTTCATGAACTTTATTTCAGGCGCGATCAATTTTCCATACACGTTCGAGTTAAGTTTTATTGGATTTAGGTCAAAATTGATGAAACTTCGTCGAACTTGATGGGATTTTGGTAAACATGGTCTGCATTGTCGCTAAACATCCAAAATGAAGATCTCTCGATGGAAATAACACACTTGAAGAACTTGCAAAAGTGAACTAAACGAAATACGAGTGAAAAGGTCCCACCTCTACCTATCGGCCCTCATTCACCGCACTTTCTAGGAAACGAAAATACGAACAAAACGAGACCGAAAAATTATTTTTACAACCACATGGCTTTTAAACGAATCTCAGGCTAGAATCACAGAAAAAAATACTTCACTCACGCTAAGATAAATAGGACTTGAATCGATTAAACGCGGTAAGAATCTACGGACACTTTATCAGCCAAACATCGAGTATTTCGGCGTGGAATATCGTACGTGAGTGCGTGTTCATTTTTTTCGGCTCGCACGTGGAGGAAGAATTCCTCGAAAAAAAAGGCAACAGAAAAAAATGAGAAAAAACCTCCTCAGCACAAGTCGACTTGCAGACTTAAAATCGGGTTACGTTCCCCGAGCACTCGCGTGATCCGTATCCCAATGTCATTGCGCTATCGCAATTAATTTTCAAAAATCTGTGAGGGGTGAAAAATGAAAATGACTTTTACTACCGCAAGGTATCAAAATATCGATGGCCTAAGTGAGGAACCGCGTATATCCATTGCAGCAGTGCTCCCATCCCATGTTCGTCAAAAGTTCCGGGATTCGTAACTTTTTTGTTACAATATCTCCTTATCCTATACCTATCCCTATCAATTACTTGAAATCATTAATAACTCAAATTTTTCAAAAACTACACTTATGCGCCTTGTCCTCCAAGCCCCTCAATTTGATTCTTTAAAAGTTAGTATTCCTTTGGTTAAGTACGAGAGGGAGTTAAAACTACGAGCCTATAATTAAAGAAAGTTCACAGGTTTAATCTAGCAAGGATAGTTGTTCTAAATTCTTACGTAAGATGGCTCCTTATGACCTTTCGAACGATTTGCGTTTTGCGTACCTGTCGACAAGACTGACGATCACTGCGTACTTGGGGAGCCTCTAGAAAAAACTCGATTGACTTCGTTTTTCTCCTCAAACGACCCACAACTTTTCCAACGTTCGCACGAGAAAAGAAAAAATAGTTTCGCAAA